GTTTAGTTTCTTTAACATGTATCTTATATATGTAATTTGACTAATTAATAAAAAGATAGAGAATAGATCTCTCTTTTTTTTTTTAAAAAAAAAAAAAAAAAAAAAAAAAAAACTTAAAAGATTATTAATTATTGAGAGAATAGTTGTATTGGTTCTAAAAATTTATTCAATTTCAAGATTATGAAAAATATTATAGATTCTAATTAAAACTTTATAATAATAAGCAAAAAATTTTTCTAATTGTTCTTTATTCTTTTAAGTATTTTTTTAATAATTATCTTAGACTATAAGTATAGATAAATTGTTTTTTTCTTTGTAAATTATTAATTCTAAAGAGTTTTTTATATATAGTAGTTAGTTATTTTTGTAGGTCTTGAGATTCATTGGTTAGAAAAACAAATACAGTATTTAGAAGGTCTAAGAGAATAATATTAAAATTAGTATTCATTATGAGAGAGTATTATTTCTATTAGTATAAGAAAGTAATTAATTAATAAGAATATAGGATTCCACAAATATCTATTATAGTATTTTTTTAACAATAAAGTATTGATTGATGTTTCCAAAATATTAACATCTAAGGTTCATAATATGTAAACATCTAATGCAACTTTTTTTTTTTCTTAAGCAGTTATGCTAATGCTTTATTAAGATTTGAAAATTATATTTGCAATTACATAAATATTCTTAACAACTAAGCCCAGCATCATCTAGCCATCTTAATGATATCTAAGTGCAACCTGCTGCATTATTTCAAACAGAAGTAAGTCACTTATCTAACTACTTAAAGTCTATAATGAAAGGATCTTCTTCCTTTTATGACAAGTTTTAAAATTGTTCTTTGTACTTCTTTTCTGATTTGTTTTTCTTTTTCTTTCACTTTCTATTTTCTTTTTTCTATGGTTTGCCAATTTGAGCATTTCTTTTTTACTTGATATTTTTCTTTCTTTTTCTTTTTATCTTATCTGTTATTTCTTTGTTTTTCTCCTATTCATTATCTTTCTTATATCAGATTCTTTATACTTGTTTATAGAATATATCTTAGGCCATTCTTGCTATTGTATTTATAAACTGCTGCCTTGATTTTGTACTTAGGAGCTGCCTCAATTTGTCTTGTGTTTCTTTTGAAATAAGACCTTTAATTAGTATCTTTCATATTTTAATTTCTTTTGCTTCTGTTTCTCTGAAGAGTGCTATATATAATATGTATAAAGAGACTCAAACTTTTTTTTCTTTCTTTAACTTCTTTTAGGCTATACTTTTTGTATTCTTTTTCATAGATTTCTTTGTCCCTTACATGCTGCCAAATGTGTCTGTGTTTCTTTTGTTTTATCTTAATACACTTGACATTCTGTTGTTATATATGCATCTGGTTTTCTTTTGTTAAGTTTTTCTAAAGTTAAAAGTTTATCTATTATACATTTTATAAATGCACTTCTTCTGGCACTACCTCTTCTTGTTGTGTAATGTACTTCTTTAGATATCTTCAGTCTATTCCAAAAGTATATCCAATTATAGATCATAACTTCTGTTTCTGATTCTAGACCTCTAATTGTTTTTATTTCTTTTTATTCTACTCCTAATCTTGCATTTATTATCAATTTACACAGTAGTCTTGCTAATATGTTTTTTTCTCATTCTAAGCAGTACTCTATCTCTTTGCAACTAACTTTTTCAACCTATATTATCTTTTTACTCATTGCACCTTTTTTTGCTAGATTATTAGCTTTATTATTTCATCTATCTTTACTGTAATTCTTAACTTTAATAAACTTTATCTGAATTTTCTTTGTTATAATTAACTCTTTAATTTTCATTACTCATATTGCATTCTTCTTTTTTAGAATTTTATTTCTGCATACTTGTTCTAAACCTCTACTAATATTTCTTATTACTGCATTACTATCTGTATATATTTCTACTTGCTTTCTTCTTGATATTATTAAAATTGCAGTTTATATTGCCACTAACTTAGCCATTGTTAATGATTGCCATCCTTCTAGACCTAATACTATTTTTTTTTTTGACCATTCTTATATTTCATCTGTTTGCATCTATTTTATGCCTATATTATTTCTGTTTCTTGCATCTTCTTTAGTCTTTAGGTTTGTTGCTTCATCTGTATATATTATATACTTGTCTTTGCTTCTTATTATATTTCTTTTTAAGATTTCTATAGATATCGAATTTTGGAAATTATATCTATATTATAATAACTGATTTTGTTGATTGGTTAGATTGGGTAAATCTGTAACCTTTAATCATACTATCTCAAATAAAAGCTTAAAGCATCTATCTGAAGTGTAATGTTATATATATATGAAGAAATATTTAATCAATATTGTATAAGATTTTGATACAAACCCATGTTAAGACCACTAGGTGCAGAAAGTAAAAGAATCATAAAATCAAAAACCCACTTGGAAATTCTGAGTAAAAAAGTAACACAAACTTTTAATAGTACTGTCAAACTGATAAAAATTTATAAAACATGTTTAGTAAGAATAAACAGATAAACCAGATGATAAAATGTATAGAGAAGCATATAACTAACTAGGTTGCTATAATCACCAGAGAAAAAAAAATACTAAGATATACTATACTAAGTCATCTGAATTGGAAGTCTAGGAAGTTCAGTTAGTTCTTAATTATGATTAATAGAAGATGATAAAGAAAAATCAGAAAAATAAGTACTGGGATTTGAATGAACTTTACAAGAGTATAACAGTTTAATGATTAGTCCTGATTGTAAGTAATAATTTAGATCAAAATGATACTGGGTCAGCTGTAAGTATAAGATACAAAAGACTTTAGTGGGTTTAGTACAAAGTTAAACATAACTTAATGACCATGACATATTTTCACCAGTTTATTAGTATCATTATAGGGTGTAATAGATATAGGATCAGAGTATTTAAATAGAAGATCTACAAGTGGGTCTTAGGTATAGCAACTAGTGTAAAACCTTTGGATGGACTATTTAAATTAAACAATGATTAAAATTGTACAAGTGACTAGTTGTACACTCTTTTCATGATTGCCTCTGTGTTTGTTACATCAACAGATACTAACTAATATATACTATTAATAAACTTCTAAGTTGCATATACTCATCTTAATATTAAAAAAAAAAAATAAATACTGTATATTACAATTGTGCTCAAATAAAAGCAACCACTTCATTTTTCTTTTTTATCAATTAATTTAATTTGTTGTTTCACTAGTTTTACTAGTTTCGATACCTTACACAAGTTTCACCACTTTTTATCAATTCGTCATTTTACTATCACAAACATACTTATTATATCACTTTTTTTTTTATACATATTCAAAAAAGTTCAAAATCAAATAAAATAATTCAAAAATCAATATTTTTATTAAATTTATTTAAGTACAATATATATATTTTTAATTAATAAATTAAATATAATTTAAAAATCAATATTTATTATTATTTAAAAAAAAATAAAAATAAAATAAAATAAAAATTAGTAAAATACTAAAATAGTTAGATATTATATTGCTTATTATTCGAAATTCCAAGTCCCGACTAGACACTCCAAAAAGCCAGTAACAATGCTAACGCTTGCCAAAAGGCTAGTTACTGGATCTACTTACTTGCAAAGGGCCAGTAAAGACCTGAAAGCCTACTAAGACACCCTTATTCAAGCTAGCATAAATTTACACACAAATATCAAAGACACCCATGCATAAATAAAGCTGCTAATAGTGTAACTTAGTTAAACACCCTTATCAAGCTGTAAACAAATAGCCGACTCGACATTTTCTGAAGCCAGTACAGACAAACAAATAAATCCTCATAATAAGCTAAGGTTGTTTCTTTAGATAAGACATATCAGTACTCAGTACCATGCATTTCACAAAGTACAAAAGTCCTGGTACATATCTATTAAAGATACTGTATATAACCAATCCCTCTTATAGAACCAGTAGACTAAAGTAAACAATCTTCTGTTCCCAAAGTAGTCACAAACATAATACTAACCTTTAAACTTGGTTTTTCTTCAATGTAGTTTTTCTTCAACATTGTTTTTCTTCTTGGTTTTTCTTCAATGTGGGTTTTCTTCATGGGTTTCTTCAAAACAAAAACAATTACGTTACTAAAAAGGGGTCATATATTGATCTATATACTGCATATAGGCCGAATTTTGGAATTTATACTATACGTATGTATATCAATATACATTTGCAATATATTTAGGTCGAGAAATCTTCCATCAGATTATGTCTGATAAATTATAAATTTAAAAACTTGATAGGTTTTATTTATCTGAATATGCAATCGATAAAATAAAAAATAAAATATTTTCTTTGTTATTTTTTTTTTTTTTGCGCCTTCATTAGTTAACTTTTATACTAAAAATTGAGTCTTAACTCTTATTCCACTTGAAATAATTCTATTTTAAACCAATTTTGTTAAAAATAGAAAAATCAGTAGTTTGCTCATTAGTAATGAAGAATTATATTTTCATAAGCTTTTGTTTAAAGTGTTTAGTTAAAATCTGATTTTTTGAAATATTACCGATTAAAAGCAACCCCGAATAAACACAATTGTTCGCATATGTAATGTGATCATTACCAGTCTTGAAATGGAACTTGGAATACAAAAAATGTTATGCATTAAACCATTTATTAGACTTAATTGTATTATTACTATATATATCGAATTCAGATATCAGTCACACGTACGAGCAATTTCTCCTACATGATGGTTTTTTTTTTTATTTAAAGCAGCAATCTTGTCCACATGTCATTTATTAAGTAATATATGATTACATATAATATACATAATACATCAACGAAAGTACAACTAGTCACACGTATAACTTTAGTCATTATCTAATTAAGGGTTCCGCCTACAGGTTACC